TAGAGCATGAGTGTCCGCCATACTGCTAGTTTGCTGAATACCTATGTTACGTAATCGTAAATAGTAAATCGTAATTAATAAATGACGTGAATTGAAAATTCAATTACTAGAAAGTGAGTTTTCAATTTCAAAACCAACCTGCTCTCGTTGATGATTCTATTTCCCACTCTTCGCGAGCCTTACTAACCATGTCTAATACGTGTGAAACTACCTTATTATATTGTGTTACTTGCTTCATTGCCGTTTCCATGGTCAAGTTGGAAGCTTTCTGTTCACTCTGAATCATTTTTTGTTCAGTGATAGGGTCCGGTTTAGTGCGCAAATAATCAGGTACAATGTCATGCGAAAATACCGGCACACGCCCTTGAGTGAGATTTACCAACGATTCATCTCGTTCTGGTGACAGCATAAGCGGCAGCACAGTACGATTTCGTAACGGTGGGCAAACTTCCTTTGCAAGAATTTTAGACAATCCTGTCAGCTAGTATGAGAAATTAGATTTACACAAAACGTACCATTGATTTGTTGGGACTTACATGGCTTGATATAATGGCGAAATTGTCAAGAAATGTTGGCCAATTAATGATCTCGTATTCAGTCTCCAATTTCTGTATCATCCCTCCGATCGATATCTTTAAGTCATTTAAGCGATTGAGGATGGCATCCAGCGTCATTTCCATTTGCTTCTCTTCACGTTGCATTGTCGAGGTTTTTAATATAAAAGCTATCTTAGAATATTGGTTTATTTGTATTTACTTTTTGCTTAGAGGTGGTAAACTACTATCGATTGCTAATGCTTTCCCTTCTGAAATGTCGAAAGTATGTGATATAATGTGCGATATAGGCGACTCGATTTAATGCAGCGTTTTTGCTGCATTTAAAATGCAACATTTAGCACTTTCGAACATATGCTTTCGAAGAGCGTTCATGCTATCGCATTTAGCAAATGTACATTTACGCGAGTTCGAAGTCGTATGCTTTTGACAAACAGCCGTGTTCCAGTCGCTTATTCAGATCCGTATCTATTACGATAAATTCTCACGGAAAAGATAATGTCCAAAAATCACTACTGAAAAGGAAAAAATAAATTCTAAACCGAAAATTCAATACAAAAACTTGAATTGTTTTAACCATAACCAAACATTTGTTTGTGTATATATTCATTTGTCGGTGCTGTCAATTATAATTTCCACACTTAATTAGGAAACAAAACAAACAGAGTTGATCACAAATTAATCCAGATTTCTATCAGCATCATATCGATGTTTAATTTGCGTAACTTTTCTTTATCCAAGTAATGTAAAATAATAAATGAAATCTCGATCGGCGATCACTGAAACGCAGCTAGCGGCTGTATACTCGAAAAAGCAAATGTTGCCACTTCTTCTCATTAAACCATGTTCGAATCGTGGAAATTTTGGAAGATCACAGGGTTGCTTTTAGCATTTAGATTCTAAATGCAAAAATGGAGTTGCATTTAGTTGCATTTAGGTGACGAATTTTGTATGGATAAATGTACATTTAGAGTAGCATTTAGAGCTAAATGCGCTAAATGTGCTTTTACGCGTAAGCAAAAACAGCCCATAAAACCGCATAAGCTAATCAAAATTTTTTACGGACAATAGAGAATCTCCTGCAAAATTGCTGGCAAGTTGCTCTACAACAAGGAACTGTCTGAACAGAAATAGACTGCTTTTACACAGTTCAAATATTGAATTCAATTCTGCTCGCATGTGGAAGAGAGAGGGTGAGAAGAAAAGGGACGCGTACATATGCGTCTGTACCGTCAAGTCGTTTCAATTTTCTTGCTTTGCTTTTGGCATTTTCGTTGCTTCCCATTTAAAGAACCAAAAACTTGAATTCAACAGAATTGAAACGTGTAAAAGAAAATAGAAAACACAAAAGAGAATGAGCAAGAATTGCTTTCAAGTACTTGAATCATGTAAATCAGGTGATACAGAATATCATGGTGATGGTACGTTTCGGGGTAGTAGTGCACTTTGGCGGAGGTAGGTCAAAATGGACGGAAAAAGTTCGAGAGTGGCATCAAGCGACGCGTCTTAACGCCAATAATGACAATCCGAGACCGGAAATTAACATTTTTAATTATTTAAAGAGTTATTTGCAAAAAACACTTGCACTTTCCGCACTATGTTTTGATGAATTTCACGCAAATGAATGGAATAAATGAACTTAATTTAACACGTTTTTATTAGTTTTTATACATTTGTGATGTTTGTGATGTTTTAAGTGTACACTTTCCCGAAATTCTGTATTTAATAGCAATATTCCGATGGTGAAAATCCGCACCAGAACCTTGTGTAGTTCACGATTGAGAGAAATAGAGATTGCGCCAATCGCGGTACCGCTAATCCGCTCTTTGTGATTTTGACAGAACCAGCTGTGTGCATGACGTCATCTTGGTGCAATTGTTGATTGTGAGCATACGAAAAAACCAAATAACAATTTTAATATTTGTGCGGTAATATTTCTGCGTGGTTTTAAACAATTATTGAGACCAAGGCGAATTTATATAGGGTGGTGTTGTTTCATCAGCTGCGAGTAGCGTTTGATTGTCAAAATTTTGAATTTCGCTAGTGAGTGAGTGAAAACGTTAGAGTGTTTGCATTTTCTGTCGCCCTTTTTCATTCGGGGAAGAATAGCTGAAATTTGACAATGGCCCGCTAAAAGCAAAATCAAAATACAAGTAATTGTTGTATTTGTTCAATCGATACCACCTTATATGTATTCGCCTTGATTGAGACATTACAAAGCAAAATGAAGTGTGCAGTGGCAAAGTGTAATAGTGAAAACAAAAGGAAAGCGTGCGATATAAGTTTTTTTCGTTTCCTACGGACGCAAACCTGGCGAAAAAGTGGAAGCAGTTCTGCCTGCGAGGAGATGCATTAAAAACCAAATCGAGCTTTGTGCTATGTGTGTGAGCTATGAGCTTCTACATGGAACTATTTTGGCCTTTCCTTGGTGAATTGTAGTAGGTGTATTTCCATGGTGAATGTAGACAGTTGCTGGTTTAGTTTGCTGGCAATGGCATACATACAAAAGCAGTTTCTACAGTAAATAGATACATGAACTTGACTACCTACCTATTTTTGTTAGTACCTG